ATGATAAGGCTGGCTGCTGTGATGTACTTATGAGAAAGTATATATAAAGTTAGGAAAATACTTGGAGAGGGATTACAGGATGCTGGTGAACTTGTGTTCCATTTTCTGTATTTTAGAGTGTTTTTATTTCTGATAAGCTTTGTGGTTGTTTTTACTGGTGTACCCATCTGTGGCAGGTTGAAAGGTGGGATCACCACTCAGCAAGGTGAAGTTCCTGAAGAGGGAGTCCTCAGGAATGTGGATCAACGCAGGGAAGTCTACACAGGTGAGCATGGTTGCATTAGTCTAATTGTGCTGTGAAGATTGTTGACCTATTTTATTTGAGTAACATGTAAATTGAGAACATTCCTTATCAGTCATCTTAATCATTTTTAAAATGTTGCAGTCATAAGAGTGCTTGACTCTGCTGAAGGCCTGGATCATGGATCATGTGGCAATGTGGCAATAGACTGACTGTCTTGGTTAATTGTTGTAATTGAATATCCAAAATGGAAAGAGCTGTATGACAGAGATACGCCAGCGTACTAAGGATATTAATCAAGTTGTCCTCTTTTTAAAAGAATATTAATTAAATATAAGAAACATAATTAACTTCCAGGAACAGAGATAAATTAAAACTAAATATGTTATCTAAATAAGTAGTGTATTTTGTTTATATTTACTTTGTGTCTATATTTTAGACCTTTCAGTATAATGAAAGTACATAAGAAGTTAAATTGACTTTCTGCAAATAAAACATTATATCCTGTTAAAGATTCTTAGATGGTAATATACTTACATACATATTTTGCTATTTTGATATGCTATTTTGCATATTTCGTTTTCCTGATAGATGTGGAATTTTTTGCTAGAATTTGTGTTAAATGCTATGCCTTATCAATATTGTTTAGAACTTCATTTTAATACTATATACACTCATCACATAATCTCTCCATTATACCACAGAACCTGGGATAGATGATTCTCAGCACTCCAAATGTGATACAGATAAATCTATGCAACCAGAACCATTTTTCCATAAAGTGGGTCATTCTGAACCTTTGAACTTAATCTCTCAAGTTCAGTCAATTAATTGTTCACCAGGAGAATCCTTTCCCCTTCGATCTCACTCTGATTCACCACCAAAAAGTAAAAACAAGAATTCCTTACTGATTGGACTTTCAACTGGTCTGTTTGATGCAAACAACCCAAAGGCAAGTATGATCCTCAAATGGAAATGTTATCCATTTGAAAACAGTTATTGGCGGCACCCATAGCTCAGTGAGTAGGACACTGGCCACATATACCAAGGCTGACGGGTTCGAACCCGGCCTGGGCCAGCTAAACAATAATGACAATTGCAACAAAAAAATAGCAGGGCATTATGGTGGGCATTTCTAGTCCCAGTTACTTGGGAGGCTGAGGAAAGAGAATCACTTAAGCCCAAGAGGTTGAGGTTGCTGTGAGCTATGACACCATGGTACTCTACCAAGGGTGACATAATAAGACTGTCTCAAAAGAAAAAAAAAAAAAACAGAAAAGAAAACAGTTATGATTATTTTTCTTTGACCCAGAATGTCAAGTTCTAATCTCCTAAAAATTCAAACATATCAAAACAAAAAGCCTTTCTGAGATACTGAAAAGAATTGTCTATTGAGAATACAACTAGGATAAAGACTGTTTCTTTGGTTTCCAGTTCAGGATTCTTTTTATAGGGTCTACTTTTGAGGGAAAAAAACCCTTTTACACCTTCACACACATTCTTTCCTACTGACTTTCATTTTTTAGTGTGGGACTAAGCTTAAGCAGTATGTCTCCAGTGGACAGAAGTGCTGTGTCACCAGTTTGTATGAAGATCAGTAGATACTTATATACTCTTTCTGGTAAAAGTTTTTCACACTTCTTTCTCACTTGCTATTTTCAAATATATGTAACCTTTGTTGTCTTATGAAATATAGAAAATTTTCAAATATAGGTAAAAATAAGAAATCATGTTATATTAAATTCCATATATAAAGTTTTTGCATATATATAACTTTTTACCAAAATAGGATGTTATGTATACTTCTTATAACCTTTTCTATTTAATATGTATTGTAATATTATTTTAAATAACATTATCAAATTATTTTTATAATAATAGCACTTTGTCATTTATCAGATATGCTCTTTATCATCTTTATATGTCATCTTTTATAACTACATATTCCACTTTTATAACTTCCATATTCCAAAATTATGATTCTTATAATTTTTTCACAAATCTGTTTCTATTGTTGGGCCTTGAGAGTTTTAAAAATATATACTTTTTAGAAAATATTTTCACCCGGGCTAGAGTGCAATGGCACAGCACAATGAATCACCTGAATTTTTTAGTCCTTGACTATTTTCTAAATATACAGGTCATTTTGTCTTTCAGTTTACTTTTCCAATTGGATATACTTTTATTTTCTGAAGTATTTTCCTATGTTTATCTTAAATTCGTAGATTATTAAATTCCTTCATATATCTGAGAGGAGTCAGAATTTTGAAGGTATGAACTACTGAAACAAATCTGTACTCTCCAGAGTTGTAGACAAAAGCCTGTCAGGGGACAGACAAGGACTGTCGTGTAGCTCATGCACTTTCTTTTGTGGTAAAGACATACAGCTCTCATTAGCCTGGAGCTTTTAAATACTTATTGCCATCTATAGTTAATATTCTTTTGTGATACATTTGATTATTGACTTACTTTTATGACCTTAGTCCAACCGTAAGTTGTATAGAAGAACCAGTGCAAACTGGCTGAGGATGTTTGGTCATCTTCATAAGTGCTCCAGAAGAAATTTCTGTCAGGCTATTGCAAGCTTTAATCAGTTACTAAATATTCATTATCTCTCTGCTATGTGCCAAATGCCATTCCATATGCTGGGGTTATAGTACTAAAGAAAGCACATTAAAATCTTATGTTCATGGAACTTAAATTCTAATTGAGGACTATACATGATAAAATATATTGCACATTACATGATGCTAAATAACTTCGGAAAACTGAAACAGGCTATAAAATTGAGCTCCATTTCTCTTCCTCCTTGTCAGGAACTAGTCACTAGGTATAAAAGTTATTCGTCAGAAGTTGCTTCTGGCTGAGATACATACTTTTATAATGTCTACAAGCCAGCAAAACTTTTTGTTTGTTGTTATTTTATAAAGAGAAATTATTGATATATTTTTTCCCATCTAATTTTTAAAAATAGTAACATCTTCAGGATTTAGTTAATTTATAATCTCATGAAACCTGAAAGAGTTTGAGGTAGATAATTACCTCCTAACCCCACTTCAGATTTGCAACCAGTTAAGAAAACAACGTAAGAGTCAATTGGGGCTCGGCACCTGTGGCTCAAGCGGCTAAGGCGCCAGCCACATACACCTAAGGTGGC